ATAAAATATTAAAAAAAAAAAAAAAAAAGTGTTTTCCCAGTTTGGCAAATTAACTAACTTCTTTGAGATTGTTTTACAATTATTAATAAATAATTGGAGCTCTGGTGGCACAGTGGTTAAGAGCTCGGCTGCTAATCAAAAGGTCAGCAGTTTCAATCTACCAGCTGCTCCTTAGAAACTCTACGGGGCAGTTCTTCTCTGTCCTATAGGGAGACTATGAGTTGGAATCAACTCAATGGCAATGAGTTTTTAATAATGGTCCAGAAATTCAAACACGTGGAGAAATTGTTTCATCAACAGATAAAGGTATGTACTGGTGTTGTATAGAGCAAATCTTAACTAAACTGTTGCTGTCGAGTCTATTCTGACTCATAGTGATCCTAAAGGACAGAGTAGAACTGCCCCATAGTGTTTCCGAGGCTGTAAATCTTCACAGAAGCAGACTGCCACAACTTTCTCCTGCAGAACAGCGGGTGGGTTTGAACCAGCCGAGTGCTTAAAACCACTTTCAGTTAGCAGCCATAGTGGTCCTCAAACTTTAGCGTGCAGTAGAATCCTAGGGAACTTGTTAAAACAGGGTTTGCTGGACCCCACCTCAAAGTTTCTGATTCAGTTGGTCTGAGGTGGGGCCTAAGAATTTGTATTTCTAAGAAATTCCTAGGTGATTTTGCTGCTGCTGATTCAGGGACCACTAATACAGAGCAACTGAAAACCAGCTTAAATGTTTCTTTTCTATTCGTAAGTGTATCTTACCTGGATATGTATCACATTTGTTTCTCAGGCTGTGCCACTTTCAGTGTATCAATGACAGCAAAGATGTTCTGGCTCCATCCCTGTCTTAGGCTGGATTCTCTAGAGAAGCAAAACCAGTAAAGGATATAAATATATATAGAGAGATTTATATTAAAGAAATGGCTCACGTGGTTGTAGAGCCTGGAACATCCCAAGTCCATGGATCAGGTTGGAGGTTTCTCCTGATTCACATAGCCACAGGGGCTGGCAAACCCAAGACTGGCAAGCCAGACAGCAGAGCTCTGACTCACAGGCTGCGAAGAACGACAAATCCCAAGATCAACAGGCAAGACTGCAGGTAAGCTGCTACCTCAAGTCCCAAGAACCGGAAGTCACATGAATGGGAGCCAGCTGGAGGATCCAGTGCGAGCAAAAGCCCACGAGCCTTGCCAGAAAGTCCACCTGTATTGGATGCAGGTTACATCCCCAAGGAAAATCCCTTTTTACTGATTGGCTACTCACAGCAGATCCCATCATGGAGGTGATCACATTATATCAAATCTCATCATGGAGGTGATCACATCATTATACAACTGCCAAACTACATCGTAACTGCCAAACCACTGAGAATCATGGCCCAGCCTAGGTGACACAACCTTAATGATCACAATTCCCCTTTACTCTCTCTGTCCAAAGTTCAATGACCTTCAAATTCTCCCCTTCAACAGCCCTCTCTCCCCAAAGCCAGAAAATTAAATGCCTAGTACTACAAGAGAGCAGTTTCCTAAACTATGTTCCTTAAAACACTGTTGTTGTTGTTGTTATATGCTGTCAGCTCAGTTCCAACTCATAGTGACCCTATACGACAGAGTAGAACTGCCTCATAGAGTTTCCAAGGAGTGGCTGGTGAATTTGAACTGCTGACCTTTTGGTTAGCAGCCAAGCTCTTAACCACTACACCATCAGTGTTCCCTCTCAAAACACTAGTGTACCTCAATATTTTGATACACATTCTGTGATAAAGGTATTATATGGTCAAAACATGTTTGGGATAAGCTGGTTTAACTGAAAATAAATTATTTTTAATCTGTGAACTTCTCAGAGCTTTTAATATGTAAATGTACTTTGTGACTTTCCAAAGGCAGATAAAGGCGGATACAATGTGTGGCAACTTCCAAGTAGATTAAATCTTGGAACGCTTCCTTAACTCCTCCTTGGCACCTCTGGTTAGCTGCTGAACTCTTAACTACTATGCCACCAGGGTTTCCACCCTAAGTGCTAGGAAATACTTATTAACCAGTTTGGAAATGCTATAAGTAATTTTATAATTTAACTTTTGTTTTATAAGGTAAACAAAGACTATATTACAAACTAGGAAAAAAGGTCAACTAATAGGCCCAAAACATTGTGTGAAGTTTTAATCGATTTAGAAAAGTCATTAAATAAATGCACTCACCCATGCTTTTGATTGTCATATGACCTTTTCTTGATCAAAGTAATAATTTACTATGGGATATAAAAAACAAAGATGTCACTTTGAGGACTAAGGTGTGCCTGACCCAAGCCATGGTATTTTCAATCACCTCATATGAACGTGAAAGCTGGACAATGAATAAGGAAGACTGAAGAAGAATTGATGCTTTTGAACTATGGTGTTGGCAAAGAATACTGAATATACCATGGACTGCCAGAAGAACAAACAAATCTGTCTTGGAAGAAATACAGCCAGAATGCTCCTTGGAAGCAAGGATGGTGAGACTTCATCTCACATACTTTGGGTGTTATAAGGAGGGATCAGTCCCTGGAGAAGGACATCAAGCTAGGTAGAGGGTCAGAGAAAGAGAGGAAGACCTCAACAAGATGGACTGACACAATGGGATCAAACACAATAATGATCCTGAAGATGGCGCAGGACAGGGCAGTGTTTCGTTCAGTTGTACATAGAGTCACTATGAGTTGGAAACGACTTGATGGCACCTAACAACAACAACAAGTGATATAAAGAAAGAACCAATTGCTCCTAGCGTCTATTGATTATCAGGCTTTTCCTTCTTCACCACCTAAAGTACCTGAGCCACCCTCCAATTTCTTTTCCACTGCTGTCTCATTTTCTTCACAACACTTCTCATAATTATGCATTATCTTATGAATTCTTTAGTTGATTCACATATTTATTGCTTGTTTCCACCACTTGTTTTCCAACTTGCCTGTCTTGTTCACTTGTATATCTTCAATGCCTAGAACAGTGCATGGTACATAATGTGCAGTCAGTAAATATTTTTTGAATGAAAGAATAAATAGATCAATAAAAATAGATTGATAAAAAATAGATCGAGCGATCTAAGTTCTAATGATGAAATCTTTATTACAGCAATAACAAATGTAAGAAGAGGAGACTTTGCTGTTTAGCAGCTTTGGCTAGGGCTATTAGAATAATCTTGATTTCTAATGAAGTAATTCCTATTAATATGAGAGGGAAATTATTGATACTGAAACTCAGAGTGCCATTTCATAGACTCACTATTATTATGATTTTAATATTTAATAAGAGACCAAAAAAAGCATACAATTACTTTTTAAATAAGGTAAGTGTGTGAAAATGACTGCGAATAAGTAGACCTTATATAAATTTTTCTTTCCTTCTAAAAGATCTCTGAAAATGGTGCTATTTCTTGCTATAATGTAAAGCTCTTTGACTTGGACAATTCTTAAAAGCATCATTAATAGTGCTTAAAAAGAACACTTTTCTAAAGGAAAACTTGTTATCTATACCTATTCTTGTATTATAAACAAGTGTTATATATGTATAGAGCATAAATCATGCTAAGTTATGGGTCCTGGTCATTTTAGGGGGCCATGGTTCAATGGTTAACAGCTATGGCTGCTAATCAAAAAGTTGGCAGTTGGAATCCGCCAGCTGCTTCTTGGAAATCCCATGGGGCAGTTCAACTCTGTCCTATAGGGTCACTATGAGTCAAAATTGACTCTGCGACAATGGGTTTGGTTTTTTGGTTTTCGGTCATTTTAGAGGCATGGAAGTAGTCGGATTGACGTGTATCATTGTGGAATATTACAGTAGATACATTAAACTTTGCCAAACAAAATAAGACAAATGAATCAGCAGGTGGGGCAGGGGGGAAGGATTCATCTAGGAATCCAAGAAGACAATTGTCATTAGTCCTTAGAACAGAATACGATTTGAAATTGCATTAAAAATGTATTAATTCTACTTCCGGGTGTTAAAATGGAAAAATATTTCTCTCACTTCACCAGGCCTTTTATGTGGTTTTAATTTTTTCTCGTTTAGATTGTCTACATCCGGTCCCCATTCTCTTCTTTCAGTCCTCTCATTATCTCCCTCTAGGGTTTATGTTTGTTTTTACTTTATGCTTTTATCCTCATTAGTGGAAAAAACTAGGCCAGTATTACTTTAGTTTGTCTTCACTTTCACTCTGCTGTTCTTTCCTGAACTAGCTTTTAGCCTCTGGGAAAGAAGAAAGTAAAAACATTTACAGAAATTGGGCCAACCTCTCTGGGGCCCCCTCCCCCAAGAAAACCTAACCAACTGCTGGAGTAGTTCCTCTCTCTTCTCACAGCACCTTGTATTTCCTCTCTCATAATACTCATTTTTTATAATTGCTGAATATCTTTCATCCCAATTAGACTCTTGGTTTTTTGAGGACCTAGCATATTGCCGAGTATGTTATAATATAAAAAAAAGTAGCCTAAATGCATTAATGATTCAAGCATAAATGACCGTATTGTATTGGTACCCACCCATTCACAAACAATAAAGGTGAAAAGTTACAGCAATCAACGTACTTAAGTGTGGGTCCTTGGACATCACCTCTCTAAAAAGCCATTTGAAAACTGTGGCTTCGATATATTTTACAGTAATTAGTTGGATAATTTTAGCAAGAGTTTTTGTTTTGTGTAGGGGTGCGGGGGAGATGAAGGGACTGAATTATTCAGGTAATTTTTTTTCCAGTCTCTGTGGACACTGCCTAACCTTCTTACTCCAGTGGGGGTCTCCTCACACCTCCCGCCGCTGCAGAACCGAGGCGGGGCAGACAGACGCCCAGTCCTCAGTGCGCGGGGTTTCCCGGGGCTACCCCGACCGGCCCCAGGCCCCGCC